CTTTGACTTTGATCTACGTCGCGAATAAGTGAATGTGCGGCGATTAACATATCGGTTGGACAACGGAGACAAGTCTACTCATTAGCTCTCGAGTTTCAGTGACAGCAAACGAAACAGTGTGTTAAACGCAAAAATCAGACACACATCTCTTACAATTCCAATAGACAACTCTCGACGATGTGCAATGGGGGAAATGGAGTGCAAACGAGTAGGTTGTAATCCAAACGCTACTTTGATACCACAGTGATAACAAATCTTACAAGTCGGGCTAGGAACATGAAAAACAGATGCTCAAAAGGGAAGATCAAACGCAATACTAGGTCCTGTTGCTGTCGCGAATTAAACGTGATCCGGAAATGCGGGGGTGAGCAAGCTTTTAACACAAACATAGTAATGTGGATCTAAACCGAACGCTGCAGTTTAGGGTTCTGACTACAGTGAGAGGATGGTCAATCATTTCGGTCCACTTATCATACCGTTCTTCGATTGCGCACGCAAACACAAGCAAACGTGCTCCTTGATGTTCCAATCATTGAATAATGAATGCGAAATGCAGCTTTTCTGCCCACTCGCATCTTCTTATCGCCTGTGTGTTGGTCGAGAATACAGTCTCAGAGTCGAGGTGAAGTCAAGTCAAGTCAGTCAAGTCAAAGTAAGCTTTATGCACCCGTAAGGTGAATTTTCAGCGATTTTTCATGATAATACAGTGGAGCTGAGGTGAATGGCCTCCGAGTGTGAATAGGGTAATTTTAAAAAAAATTAAAAAAACGACAGAAAAGTGAACGCAGGAAGACGATAGTGACGGATAAAAAAGGAATAAATAAACTCAGGTGTTCAACCAAACCTGTAATAATAGGTGCTCGATTTACTAGAAAGCGAGAAAGAAAAGGAAGGATGCTGTTTCTGTATGCGACGGTGCGTGCGGGAAGTAGTCTATAATGAGAGCGGGTACGGGGGGTTGACATGGATCTGGTAAGTTCTTTGTGCAAGCAGTGATCTTCGTTGTTCAAGATTCGGTCAAATGCTAATGCTAATCACACAGTGTACGGTTTAACCTTTGCGCCGAAGGCCTGGCTAACGAAGGTCGTTCAGTTTGCTCAGATTACTCCGGTAGTAATGACCAGAATAAGTGACTACTTCTCCATGTATCTAAACCGCTCAGATTCAAAATTACAATCGTTCCTCGCCTTCACAATAAAGAGCTTTTAAGACTGAACTACTGGAAAGTCTAGTTGTAAAAAAATGTGCTTAAATCAAAGATTCAATTTATGTAATCATGTGATACGGAGATCTGGTTAGTTAGTTTCAGTATCATCATTATCATCATCATCGTACAGTGAAATACAGTGAAGCGAAATTCATTGATCGCTGCCAAACCTGCACACTAAGTTTGTGGTAAAATTTAGGGTTTACAGGGATTGAATCTATCTGTTGGTTTGCTGCCATATCCCTCAAAGTCTCCAACCAACTGGTTGTGGAATCTTTCGGATCCCAACCTGGAAGGCGTGAGACACCTACTCTACCTAATGGCTCTGCGCATTTCTTCATGCATCGTTTCCACGTCATCCGGAGACCTCCACGTGGTTTCCTCTAGCACGGAACGGCTACAGCATAAAGGGCGCGATGTGGTAGATGGCAGCTGGGCATACACAATACCCGCCCTAGCCAGCGAAGTGTAATAATCGGAATTCGATGTGTTAGCAGGTTTATACCTGACAGACTTCCAAACAGGACGACTTAGCTCCAGATTACTAACCCATTCACTCCATCCCACGTGGGCTAAACTACGTAAACACCGATAATCGAAAACCTCTAGTCAGTGGATTTCTCCTACTCGCACATGCAAAGCTTCACAACCGTAAAGCAGTACTGAAAGAACGCTAGCAGAATATGTATGACCTTTCAAATGCAGTGAAACGTCGGGTCTACGCCAAAGGTGTTTCATTCCTGCGTATGATGCTCGAGCCTTGGAAGTGCAGGCAGTTATCTCCTTTGTTGCGCTACCGTCATTGGTCACGCAAC